CTTCCTCATCTATGAGATGAAGATAACCTTTGTATCACACAGGGTCTTTATGAGGATTAAATGAGATAATAAGTGTCAATCACTTTATTAGGGTATTTGATAAGTGTTGGCTGTTACTATTAATATGTTTATAATAGGGATGATTAAAAATAAGAAAAAGTAGGAAGAGCCCCATTGCTCTGCGATAAGACACTGGGTGCATGAGCTCTGATATATACACTCAAAGGCAGAGTCATGAATTTTTTTTTTTTTTTTAAAAACAGGGTCAGGGTCTCACTCGTTCACCCAGGCTGGAGTGCAGTGGTGCGATCTTGGCTCACTGCAACCTCCGCCTCCCAGGTTCAAGTGATTCTTCTGCCTCAGCCTCCCGAGTAGCTGGGGCTACAGGCGCGTGCCACCATGCCTGGCTAATTTTTGTATTTTTAGTAGAGATGGGGTTTCACCATGTTGGCCAAACTGGTCTCAAACTCTGGACCTCAAGTGGTCTGCCTGCCTCGGCCTCCGAAAATGCTGGGGTTACAGGCATGAACCACCGCTCCCAGCCTAGAGTCATTCAATTTCATCACATTATATACAGTGTTTAGCACAGGAACTAACTCATACAAGTGTTTAGTGAAGTCTGGATTTCACTGTGAAATATTCAAGATATCCATTGGGTTACATTTTAATAACTGAAACTGGGACATATCTTATAGTCAAGGGTGTGTTACAGTTTAATTGGAAGTGTGTGATGCATCTCACATTTGACGCACTCTGTGCTCAACAGAATAATGGCCTCCCAAAGATGTCCATGTCCTAATCTCTAAAAGGTGTCAATGTTACCTTACAAGGAACTTTGCAGATGTGATTCAGTTAAGGACCTGGAGATGCAGAGATTATTCTAGATTACCCAGGTGAGCCCAATATAGTCACAGGGTCAACGTTCGTGGTAGGAGATGTGACGGTGGGAACAGAAGTTGGAATGATATGAGAAGAAACCATGAGCCAAGGAACACATGCAGCATGTGGAAGCTGAAAATGGCAAGGAAACGATTAAGCCCTGAAACCTCCAGAAGGCACCAGCCCTGTCAATATCCTGATTTTAGCACTTCTGACCTCCAGAGCTGTAAGCCAAGTGTGGGTTATTTTAAGTAACTAGGTTTGTGGCAATTTGTTACAACGGCAGTAGAAAACTAACACACAGTCTTCATCTGAATGAAACCAGGTCCTTTTTGACTTGTAGGCACATGTTAGGCTCTCAGTGCATTCCGAGTTACCACTTGACTTCATAAAAGGCAGTCAGTATAAAACTATTGAACGAATGTTGAATAGAATAGAATACAAACATTAAAATTATGTTTACAAAGCCATCATAATAAAACAGAAAAATGTTATTTAAAAAAGAATACCTATGTGTCTTACAGTGAAATCACCACTGTATTAAATGGCCAAACATCAAATTATGTAATACAAATTCCAGAAGAAAAAAAATTAAACTATTAATAGTCATCATTTCTGCATGCTGGAACTATAAATGACTTTCTTTTTTCTTCCTTTTACATTTCTGCATTATCTCAATTTTCTATAAAGAATGGTATCATTTTCATAAAAGAAGAAAGCAATTTCATTTCAAAAGTAGATAGGAATATAGTATGGAACATCAAAGGCAATGAAAAAAAAAGTTATATTCAGTTCCCTCATTTATGCAACAATGATTCTAATGTAACTAATAATTTCAAATCTTCAAATTTACACATCTGCGTATCACAAACAGAATGGTCATCATGGATCTGTTTTGATTTTGCAAACAGTGGTCAGTTTTAATAATAGTAAAGTTATGACTATCACCTCCAAACATCAGCTGCTGCCCAGCCACTGTGAGCCGCGTGACCCCAGCAGTGTGTCAGATAGGTAGAGATTTAAGCAGACTCTGGCAATTGACTCCACAGGAAGGAAAAAAAGTCAAGAGGAGAAAAGCTGGGAGACCTGCTGAGTGACTCTGCTTTGCTTACACGTCAAAAGAAGAAAGAGTTATTCTTAGAACTATGGCTCTTTGACCTTGGATAAGTCATTCCACTCCTCTGAGCCTCACTCAGTCTCCTTTTGTGTTAGGAGAGTATAGAGCTAAATTATCTCTAAGATTCCATCTAGCTCTCATATTCTATAAATACGTGTGTATGTATACATATGCAAACACTCCACACATGGACGTACAGGCTCTGAGACATAAGACAATGAGACTGATACTCAAAACAATATTCCACTATTTTTGCAGTCATATGTGGGTTGCTTTGAACCAGCTTTAACTAGATCTTTCATACTGTGCAATTTGCCGCTAATACCATCACCATCAGATATTTCACAGTGTCTTCTTTTTCACTATGTCAGAAAATAAACTGCACAGTTTGAAAAGGCTTAAACATGTGCGGGGGTTACGGCAGTAGCAGCAGCCTGAGGTCTGGCTAGTCCCTGAGGCTTTCTAGCTTGTCACTCAGCAGCTCTTTGAAGAATGCATTTGTAACTTTGAGAAGGTTGTCTACTTTCTTCCGAGAAAACTAAGCACATTAACAGAACTTAATAACAGATTTTCAATTCAAGGCAATGCCTGATAATATCTCAATTACTGAATCAAATGAAGATGCCATTTCTGAAATATGTTTTATATGAAATTTCACTGGAAGTCTGAAATGTCCTAGGATATTTATTATGAACGTTTTTCCAGGAAATATTGGCAGAATCCCTATTTTTCAAAGGAAACGTAAGTGATTTTATCCAAATCTTAAGGCACTTACAAGTTTTGCAGGGTGGAATAAATCATGTGCATACTGAACTCTAATGCAAAACAGAAAGATGAATGCCAGAGAAAGGCAGGGGTGTATCCCTGTAGATAGAGTTTCAGAAGAGAAAGAGATTATACCCAGCTGCCGAGCAGGAAGATGGTCTAAAGAAGCTTATGGGGTACACCGTATCAAAGGCCTTTTGGCTTCTGAATTCAAGAACTAATATGGGAGTGGAGGATTTTTTTTTTTTTAGACTAGGCCTCTCTATCACCCAGGCTGGAATGCAGTGGCACAGTCATGGCTTACTGCAGCCTTGACCTCCTGGGCTCAAGCAATCCTCCCATTTCAGCCCCCAAAGTAGCTTGGACTACAGGCACACGCCACCATGCCCCATTCATTTTTTTCTATTTTTTCTATTTTTTTTTTTTTTTTTTTTTTTTTTAGAGATGAAGTTTCACCATGTTGCCCAGGCTGGTCCCAAACTCCTGGGCTCAAGCAATCTGTCTGCCTCAGCCTCGCAAAGTGCTGGGATTACAGATGTGTCACTGTACCTGAGCAGGAGGAATTTTTGATGGAGGAACTAGAATGAGCAATGTTTTTGTGACATGGAGAATTTGGGCTGTGTACAGAGACAAACAAAACATGAAATTTGACAGAAATGCCAACTTCAGATTAGGGAGCCAAGAGAATAAAGATTGAAATGACACGTAAGATTGAGAGTGCCAAGGCCTTGAGCCCCCAAAGAAGGAAAAGGAGACGGCACTTTCTTCTACAGACAGTTGTGAGCCATCTAGGACGTTTAAGCAATTGTTTGATTTGCATTTATTCACCTCTCTCCATTATAAGGAGCATAGGTAATTTTAACTCCATAGTTTAAAAGGCATTATAATTTCTCACTCAACAAGTGACCATAATTCCAAGCAACCTTTCCATGCGTCATACAATGAATAATTCTAATTCTGTGTTTGAAATTCTGCAAGAGAAGATTTCCTTTATTGCTTTAGTATTTCTAGTTTTATTTGGTGTTGGAAGAGGAGTGGTTCCATTCAGATGTGAGAGTCAAAGGTGCACATGTGACCAGGTATGGTGGCTCACACCTGTAATCCCAGCACTTTGGGAGGCCAAGGCGGGAGGATCACTTGTGGTCAGGAGTTTGAGACCAACCTGGCCAACATAGTGAAGACCTGTCTCTACTAAAATACAAAAATTAGCTGGGTGTGGTGGTGCTTGCCTGTAGTCCAAGCTGCTCAGGAGGCTGAGGCACAAAAATCGCTTGAACCTGGAAGGCAGAGGTTGCAGTGAGCCGAGATCGCACCATGGCATTCCATCCTGGGCGACAGAGTGAGACTCTGTCAAAACAACAACAAAACAAAACAAAACAAAACAAGAAAAAACTGCATCATATGCAGGGGGCCCAGGAAACCCAACCTTCTGGAGGACAGAGATGACTTGGTCACACAGACAGACACACAGACTGTATCCACTGGTCTCCAGGCTTCCTGGTTTCAGCCTTTTAGACCCCAGGGCTTAGCCATAGCTCCTTATGCACAGCCCCTTGCCTTCCCACCTGTTTACTCCTCAGCACTGGCACCAAACCTATATTCTGTACATGAAGACATAACACTTATTCAGCATGGTGTTCTCGTTCCGTGTCTGTGTGGATATGTGTGTCTGTGCATTTATATATAAATGTACAAATATACACACATTATGCAAAATGGCAACAGCATATACCATTATTTTATTTTTATACCTGTCATTTTGTGGTGAAAGCCATATTTTTTCCAAATGGTTTGTGAGCATTTTGAGAAGAGGCCCATCATATTGTATCATGCACACAGCCAATACTCAATTAGCATTCATTGAGCAATTGACTTAAGCTAAGTCTTTAGCCTCCCAGATACGTAGTATTTCCTCCTAGGACAAGGAGAGCAGCTGGTTAACATACTTGGTGTAAAAGGACCAAAAAGTATGGTTCCCATTTTCTTTTAGATCTCAGAAAGACAAGATAGTTTATGTCTTTAAAAGCTCCAGAGATAAGGTAACTGAACCCATCATCTGAAAGCAATCTATCAATATGTACGAGAGTGCATGGGTGAGAGCATCCATGTGTGTGAAATCAGAAACCTCGAAACTGAAAAGTGGAGAAATCATGCGGTAAATATTAAATCCAGGTGGTGTTAGCAAACGGATACAGTTCATCAACTGGCGTGGTTTTCATGTGTTCAACTCAACACTTACCTCAATAAAGAAGATGCTGGCTGCTGATGTTGGGTGGTGATACATATAGACTGTCACAAGAATGGCTGTGGCTATAATGAGGACCAGGATGAGGATTCCAACGATGAGGCCAGCGTGGAGGGTTCCCCCTTTCTTCTCAGCTGCACTGTCATCTGTAGAAGCTGAAAGAACATCCCAGCTGTCAGGACGGTCATGAGCTTACCCTTAAGTTTGCATTTTCATCTAAGGAGATATTTGTGTTTTTAATAAAGTACGACTGGATCTTTACTTCCTGGACAACTTTTCCACAACACCAATTTTATAGGTGAGGTGCTCTTCATGTGGGCAATGAAGAATCCACAGGATTCGTGAGTAAAAGTACATTTATCACTGTGTTTTATTTTTATTTTTTATTTTTTGAGATGGAGTTTTACTCTTGTTGCCCAGGCTGGAGTGCAATGGCATGATCTTGGCTCACTGCAACCTCCGCCTCCTTGGGTTCAAGTGATTCTCCTGCCTCAGCCTCCTGAGTAGCTGGGATTACAGGTGTGAGTCACCACGCCTGGCTAATTTTGTATTTTTAGTAGAGACAGGGTTTCACCATGTTGGTCAGGCTGGTCTCAAACTCCTGACCTCAGGTGATCCGCCCACCTCAGCCTTCCAAAGTGCTGGGATTACAGGCATGAGCCACTGCGCCTGGCCTGTGTTTTAAAATTTCTAGTTGGATAAGCAAAATGAATACTTTTTATTCTCAAAGTACTGTGGGAAACCTCAAACTCTAATTAACTACACACTAAATTTAACTTTGATTTTTCTCATTAAACCAACAAAGTTACCTAGGGAAAAACTGATTAATTTTGAAAGCTCCTCTCACGGAAATTTTAAATTCAAGAGTACTGGACATCTTTTGGTAAGCTACATAAGCATTTTCAGAAAGTTTGTACATGAACTCCAAGCAAAATTTGTGAAAAATCTGTTTTAAGCAAAAATACTTTGTAAAAGTGTAACAGATGGATGCTCAATAACCCTCAAATAGTTTTGATCACTATCTGAAGGGAACGCCACAGCAAAGGAAAACATTCCACTACACCCCAGAACAGTATCATTTCCTCTAACTTTTACTGAGATGCTTTTCACTATAATACACATTTTTTTTTTTTGAGTTAGCAAAGGGAGGAATTAAATTTCTTAAGTAATAACTACGCTAACCAAAGCCAACCAGCCAAATACAACTAATCTCTAAAGTCTTCTTTTACTAAAATTCTGTAATTGTTGATGATTACTCAGGCATTTAGAGATCTTCCTGAATTATGTACAGCAGTAACTGTATCTTAAGTGCACCATATGACTGGTATTCTGAATTATGAGATAATTCTTTAAGATGAACAAAAGTTTCAGAACAGTGGCTCTCAATCCTTTCTTTCTTTCTTTTTTTTTTTTCTTTGAAATGGGAATCTTGCTCTGTCACCCAGGCCCAATTTGGAGTGCAGTGGTACAATCTCAGCTCACTGCAACCTCCACCTCCCAGGTTCAAGCAATTCTCCTGCCTCAGCCTCCTGAGTAGCTGGGATTACAGGCGCCCGCCGCCAGGCCTGGCTAATTTTTGTAATTTTAGTAGAGATGGGCTTACACCGTGTCAGGCTGGTCTTGAACACCTGACCTCAAGTGATTCACCCACCTCAGCCTCCCAAAGTTCTGGGATTACAGGCATGAGCCTTTGCACCCGGCCTCAATACTTTCAAGACCAATTTACCTCTTTGTTATTTTTACCCTTTGCCTCTATGTTGTAAACATTTTTTTGTTTATTAAACTTCGTTTAATAAGCACTGATTTCTTTCTTTTATTTTACATTTTTTTAAAGAAAAACCAAACATGGATGTCTATCACAATGTGTGGTCCACATGAACGAATGGAATTCCAGAAAAAGTGGAGAAACATGACCTCCTAATTCTTTCTACCTCCCCTCTACATTTTTATTGCTCTCGTTAACTCTTTGCTTGAGAACTGCTGTTGGTGTTCAGTAATCCTTCTCCAAATCTAGTAAGGCTGAAAATTCTAAAGATTTCCCTAATGTAACAGAAATTCATTAGTGAAAGAAGATCAAATTTAGAGTAATTCATTACATAATAGCTCATTTACACTGTGCCAGGGATCATTGTATTGCTTTGCAAGTACCAAACCAACAACCCTAAGAGGTAAGCACTACTATTATTTCTGTTTTATAATAAGGAAGTCGAGGCACAGGATAATTAGAAAATAAGCTAGGGTTGCAAAACTATTAAGGTAAAACTGAGCTCACACACTAGCAGTCTGGCCTCCATGTCTGAATTCTGGACCTCTGATCAATGCCTCCTCAATGAACACTGGGCAGTAGGTCCTGCTATTTCCTCTTATTTCATGTTGTGAGTTCTTCTAGCAAATAATTCTGAAAAGAATCTGGTAACTTCAAGCAAAGAAAAACTAATGTGAAAAACAGTTAAAGAATTACCACTGGAGCCGGGCGTGGTTGCTCACGCCTGTAATCCCAGCACTTTGGGAGGCCGAGGCAGGTGGATCACCTGAGGTCAGGAGTTTGAGACTAGCCTGGCCAACAAGGTGGAAACACTGTCTCTACTAAAAATACAAAAAATTAGCCAGGCATGGTGGCAGGTGCCTGTAATCTCAGCTACTCAGGAGGCTGAGACAGGAGAATTGCTTAGACCCGAAGGCGGGGGTTGCAGTGAGCCGAGATCCTGCCACTGCACTCCAGCCTGGGCGACAGAGCGAGACTAAACCTTACAAAAAAGAATTAACATTACACCTCCAAGATGATAGAGGCTATGTCTTTAGGCTGGGTTTTAGGTCAGTATCTGCCATCACAAACATTTTCATCTGTATTTGGTGAGAAGGGAGGAGGAAAAGAGAGGAAGGAAAAAGATAAAAATAAAGGCTTTTGGAAATAGGTTACAGTATTAGAATGACAACATTGCCAATAAAAATCAAGTGAGGCTATAATAAATGACCTCATCTGTCTGGTCTTCAGTTAGCCTTATCTCCAAAATGCAGTCAATAACAGTAATTACCCCACAGGGTTGATATGAGAATTCCACATTTAATACATACAAAGTTCTTAGGAGAGTATGTGACTCATAATAAGCACTTAATGAATATTGAGATATTATATTATTATCGTACTTTTTATATGAGGCAGATTGAGGCAAATTATACAGTCAGATTCATGACAATATATAAACTATGTTTTTGCCCTTAACATGTGTTGCTTTTAAAAATTTGGCCTCATCCTTAAGTATGCTTGTATTATTGCACCTTGTGGACTTGGCTATTTTCTTATTTTTTATAAGAGTATGACACATTGCTTTCCTGGGAAAACAGGATTAATTGAAAATGTGGCTTTAGGGGAAATGTAGCAAAAATATCTACTTGACTCAAAAACGAAGCTTTGACTGTTTCTTCAAATCCTTCCCTCGCTCTTCCATTCGTCTTTCCATCCCTCCATCCCTCTCTTTCCTGCTGTTTTTTATCCTCCCTTTCTCCATCCATCCATCCATCTATCCAACCATTCAGTGTCTGATTCTATTTCTGGGGTTTGTCTTTGGGCTGGGTTTTAGGTCAGTATCTGCCATCATAAACAGTCCTTTATACACAGCATGCCAAGTTTTAGCCTCGCAAATTTCAGCCTCACTTCCTCTTCTTTTATTTTTTATTTTTGAGACAGAGTCTTGCTGTCACTCAGGCTGGAGTGCTGTGGTATGATCTTGACTCACTGCAGCTTCGAACTCCTGGGCTCAAGTGATCCTCCTGCTTTGGCCTCCCAAGTAGCTGACGCTACAGGCATGTGCCACCATGCCTGGTTAATTTTTTTTGTAGAGACAGATTGTCACTATGTTGCCCAGGCTTGTCTTGAACTCCTGGGCTCAAGTATTCCTCCTGCCTCAGCCTCCCAAAGTGCTGGGATTACAGACATGTGCCACTGCACCTGACTTAGTCTTACTTCTTTTGTGTATGCAGGAATGGAGAGGGAAGATTAAGGTATTTGTGAGTTGACCTCAGGTTGCTACTTCCCAAATGGGCCGGAGGACCAGCACCTGTTAAGGAGGCAGCCCTTCCCAGGAAGGAAGAAAGAAGAGTGCAAGGGTCATGTTTTACTAAATAAGAGTCCTTGTCAGAAATAAAATTATTTTTGTCTTGCAGTACATAAGTTGCCAATCTTTGGAATATAACAGTCAGAACCAGATTTGCACCTTGAGTGTGGCAAACCTCACTACCTTTATTTAGACATAAATACTCTCACAATTATTATGTAGTCATACTTCCAATAATAATATAGTTATATTATCTCCTTTTAAAAATGTTTCTTTACATTTCTGTTTTAGATGCCAAGACACTGCGGCCATATCTAATAATGCAATTTGTACAGTCTAGTTTATTACTAGCCAAATAACCATTTAATGACATTTTTGGATGATGATTATTTTAATAAAATAAACAGCTTTCATGGATTCTCAATACTAACCAGAAGACAAAATAAATATTTCCAGACCTATGAGTATAACATGACTTGATGTATTCTAACAGAGCAAGTCATTTAAGGAAAAATGTAGCATACAGAATTCCAAAATATTACAAGAGTTTCTTTGTGTCACATACCAATGACTACTTCAAAATGCTTTAGAGTGACCATCTGAATGGAGTGACCAAAATTGCACACATAGTTTTGGAGAAAGCATTTTTCTACTCTCGTATTATTTAACCCCTTTTTTTTTTTTTTTGGCTACTGCAATGATTCTACAATTTCCTTCACAGTACAAGCATCTCTATTCTGGCTTCTTTCTATGGGCTTTAGGTGAGCGTATATTGGCAGGTATTACAATGGCTTAATTAGAGGTCATTAAATCTGAAGGTGCAGGAAGCATTCCATTGATATGCTTTGATTTTAAATTCTTTCACTACTTGGTTTTCAGTTTAATATCATGCTTGATCAAATTGTACAGATTTTGCATATTTATGGAGATCTGCAGACAGAATTTAGAGTATACTGGGTATATACTCAAAAGGATATAAATGATTCTACCATAAAGACACATTATGTCCATTGCAGCACTGTTCACAATAGCAAAGACATGGAATCAACATAAATGCTCATCAACAGTAGACTGGATTAAGAAAATGTGGTCCATATACA